CTTTTGTGTGGGTACCTGAAGGTCAGTGAGTTGAGGGACATAGGCCAGGTCATCTGGTCCCCATCCTATTCTGCCCCTTAGGAAACTTTCCTAAGCTTCCTTCTGCTCCAGTGCCTTAGGCGTTAGGCACAGCAAACTTGGAATTCTGACTCCACATCTTCCTTTTAGGTTTGTAGCCTCAGGCAGTCCCTTCTTCCCTGCTTGAGCCTCAACTTCCCTCATCTATAAAACTGGACTAAAAATCCCTTCCATAATAAGGTTGTTTGAGCAGTGAATAGGAAATCATATTTGTAAATACCTCAGTGCAGAGGAAGTACTCAGAAACCTGGTAGTTTTTAAAAGGGGGGAGCAAAGGAACATCTTCGCAAGGGAAACCCATGATGTCTCCGGAAGTGGGTTAAATCTGTCCATGTTTGTGCCAAACTGACCAGATGATTAGCAAGGTAGTCTTCAGGCATGGCTGGCTTAGGCTACAATTTCTGAAACAGAGACAGAGAGTTTTCTGTGGGGCAAGGAGGAAGACTTCATCCTGGAGCCTTTTTATCAGAGCTGCTTCTAATCCCTTGTAGCTGTAATAACCAAAGAGGAAGCCCTTAAAATAGGGAATTATGTATCAGCCGCCACAAAATAACCCTGGGCCCAGGGCCAAGGAAAACAGTTCCATCTCTACTTGGTGGATGGCAGGGAAGCAGGTTGCTCAAATGCATGCGGAGGGGACTTGTTCCTAAGCACTTACTGCACCACGGGACAATGGGTTGGTGGGGTTGATGGATGAGGACTAGTGGGCCATTTGCAGATCTGCAAAGGTGGACAGAGATATTCCAGGGAAGGTGTTGTCTGAGGTCAGTCTGGTTCGGCAAACGGATAGTGTGATTGGGCAGAAGCTAAGGGCTTGGGTGCACTGGTCACTGCCACTGTCAGCTGAGGCACCTTGGAGTGTGCCTTGGTATCTCTAGCCCTTGCTGATGTCACCTTAAGTAAAGCTAAGGCCTTATGAATCCTAAGGTCAGGGGTGAGCTTGATGATCATTGTAGCAGTGATAACAACACTAATAACAGCAGGTTATTAGGAATACCTGCCCCAGGCCAAATGCTGTTCTAAGTTCATTCTGTGCACACACTCCCCCCATTGTAGCCTTACAATATCCTTATGAGGTAGGCACAATTATGCCCATTTTACATATGAGAACACTGAGGCCTATGGAGGCTGAGTAACTTGTCTGAGGTCATCCAGCTAGGAAGTAGCTCCCAGCTTCTGGCCAGGGCTCACACTCTCAGATTCTTTTTTGGGCCAGGCTGCCCCTAGAAATGCATGGAGTAGGTGAAGGTCATGACAGCAAATGGGAAAGATCAGAGATGACCCAGGCAGGCATGAGGCCTGGGAGAGACTAAAGTACTTGTGCAACCGATACCCCAAGAGAAAGAGGAATGAGCAGATGAAGCCTAAGCATCAGCAGAGGCTTGGGTAAGGAGCTTTGTGTGACTGGAAGGTTTGGGGTGGGAGGGCATTTTGGTCTGATGTGTGCTGTAATGAGTCCCCTTCAGCTGCTGTGTCAAGAATAGATTGAAGGGGGTACAGCATGGCAACATGGAGACCTACAAAGAGACTGCGCAGATGCCCATGTGAGGGCTGACACCCTGAGCAGGGTGGTTGCCATGGTAATGGAGAGATGTGGGTGGTTGCCAAGAGCGAGGTTCACTGAAAGGGGCTTTACAGACACAGGCCTGGGTCAGACACCCAAAAGGGCATGGGAGGGCACCTACATCTGCATCTAACTTTTTCTGACCTCATCTAGGCTTGTGTTAAGCCATGGGCAGTGACCCCACTGGCAACTGGCTCTAGGTAGGGGCAGAGGTGGGTACTGGCTCCAAGGGCAGTTGGGCCTGGTGGGAGCGGTGACTTGGGCGCATATCCATGGTGCTTTGCCTGTTCAAACAACCCACACCCCAACACAGACATACTTCCTAGCTCAGCCACAGGATTCAGGAAAGTGGGTCCCACCGGAGAAGGTGCTCAATGTAGTCAAGGCTAGAGAATCTGTTTTGTAAGAAACCAGAGCCTGGAGCAAAGCAATTTCAGAGAACTGCAGTTGCTGCTTCCCAAGTTTCTGGAACATTCTCTAAGTGCTAATGTGCAGGTGGGCCTGGGGACTCAGAGGACAGAGCCAAACCTCTTCATGTCACCATAGGGAAGCTGACCCAGCTCTAGTGGAGATGACCTACTGTGAATTTGCAAGCCCCTTACCAGAAATGCAAGAAGAAGCTGGTGCACTCCACACCCATCACCCCACTCCCCCCACATCCCCTTAAATATGAAGGCCTGGCTGAACTTGTGAAGCCCCTTCCAGCTCTGAGATTCAAGGAGGCTCCTACAGGGTGGAACCAGCCCTTTTGGGAGTAGAGGCCCTGGGGGTCATTCTCTGAACAACATCTTCATGAGGAGGGAGTTGAGTCTCACATCCTCCAATTATGCTCCATGGTGCGGGCCACAATGGGCCCTCAGATAACCATCAGGCGCGTACATCAGCACTGGAACAATGAGCATACCGCCAGGGCTATTTTTGCAGGAGCCTCTGCCGACCAGGCTCGAGCCTTGCCCCAAGGGAGCACAACAGAGAAAGGCATGCCGGGTGCCAACTCAGGGGCCGCCGTGGAGGCTCGCGTCTGCACTCCAGGGAACCGGCAAGGTCTCAGTGAGTGACCAACCCCACCAGGAAACCTTTTCTTGTTCTGCTCACCACCAGATAGCTAAACAATCGGAAACCCCCACCCCAGCCTGGGAGAGGAAGGAGGCGTGGGGGAAATGGGTTTCTATGTGCTGTTGTGTCTCAGCTCCTTAGCATGACCCTACAGGCGCTTGGTTTCAGCAGCCAGGCCCACACTGCCCTTCGTGTCTCCTCCATGCACGGTGACTACTCACATAGCCCCTGTCTGGCCCTATCTAGCCCCATGGGAGCTGATATTGAAATACCTACCTCCCCAGCACTGGTCAGAAAGGGAAGTGAGGCCCAGAGGCTAAGGGCTCACCCAAGTTCACAGTCAGAAGTGGCACTGGGATTTGAACTTGTTACTGCTTGCTCTAAGATTCCTCTTTGTGAGCTGTCAGCTCTTGCATGACCATCTGCTGTGTGCTGTCACAGTACCAGGCTCCAGGGACATGGCATGGACAAGGCAGACAGGGTCCTTGCCTTCCCTGCAGTCTCTATCCTAGTTGAGGAGGAGTCAGTTAATGAGTCAATGAACAGGGCATTTTCAGGTAATGATATGTGCGCTGACAAAAAGACAAACTCTTTTTTTGTCAAATGATGCCTACTGGAATCAGACACGCAAATCCATCATGTGGGTAGATTGTCTCCAGGCTGCCAGTGTGAAGGATGACCACATCAGCTCCAGCTAGTGGTCGCCCTGAGGAAGTAGGAGCCCCATGTTGCCAGACCCTCCAATATTTTAAGAGAGGCCTGAGCTCTCCTAATGTTTCATTGTTGGCTACCAATTTGGATCATGCAGACATGATAAGTTTATGCCCCAGGCTGCTTGGCTATTAGTTGGCCACCTTTGCTGTCATTCATTTCATTTTGCAAATAGGGAAACTGAAGCCCAGAGAGGGGAAAGTAGGCCCCCTAGCTCTGGTTTTCCTCAGTTCATTTGTCTTCCATGGCCCTCTGCCACTTCATGGTAAACCCTCTGTCCTCTCCCTCTGGGCTGGGCCTCCTGATGTGCCCTGTAAGCCTTGAGCAGTTCTCTGCACACGGATAGAAGGTTCTGGATGAGACTGTGGACCTCAGGGTTGAGCTACCAGGGAGGGTGCAGACTCAGGGACCTGAGGAAGCACAGAAAGAAGCAGTTGTGCCCTGGCTGGTAGTAGACCCCCTTTAGAGTGGTGTCTGAACTGGGATGGAGTAGAGGTGACCGGGAGCAGTTCCTGAGGACTTGACTGCTGGATCACTCAGAGCCCAACTGGATGATTCCAGAGACTTTACTACGCAGGGTTAGAGGAAGCCAGTAGGAAGAAAGGATGATCCAGCACCCAGAACCCCGTGGTGGTGGGGGCTGTTAATACTTGGAAGCCTGAAGGGAGCTTGTAACAGAATCTGGAGAGAGGTCTGGAGTCGTGGAGGGGCCACTGACAGGGGCTATAGTCATGAAGGGTCACAGCTACCACCAAAATATGTGACACCACATGGGGAAAAAAGGGGAGAAAAAGCTCTCCTCTCATTCTCTGATCTCCTCTGGGACCTCCCATTGGTTGAAGCCAATGAGAGGGCACAAAGTCTGAGGAGGTGGTGCTGTCATGTGATCAGCTCGCCAAGTCCCAGAGCCAGGTCAGGGAACAGGTGGAGGGGTAGGTAGCAGGTAGAGGATGACTAGCCCTCTGGCATAACCCTCACTGGGACAGATAGATCCCTTATCTTTTTTTTTTTTTTTAATTTTATTTCTTTAAAATATTTTATTGTGTTTTTGGTGAAGGTTTACACAGCAGTTTAGTTTCCTGTTCAACAGTTTCTTCACAAGCTGTTCAATGACATTGGTTACATTTTTCACAACCCATGAACATTCTCAGTATTTCTGTTCTGGTTATACTGTTTCCACTACTCTTGTTTCCCTGCCCTTATACATTCTCATCTTTGTTTTGAAGTAGTTGTTGACTGTTTGGTTTCATATAGATGATTTTAGATTCCTTATCTGTCAGCAGATGCAGGCTGAAGTATAACCCTTTAGGATCTCCAGTGTTTCTGTTCAGCACGTGCCTAGGGAATGAAGCCTGTCAATTCTGTGGGTCCCAAGTGACCCCAGAATCCCCAGCCTGAATCATGAGGTCTTTGATCGCAGGGAATCTGAGTAACTCAGGGTGTTGTGGTCAAAGCACTGGGCAGTTGGGAGGAGCTGGGCCTCCTGTCACAGCCCAGCCAGGTTAAAGCCAGCCCACGGGTGAGAAAGAACAGGTGAGTGATGTCTTGTAGACTAACCGCATGCTGGATTTGATTTTGTCTCCATAGAAAGTGAGGAGATGGCCACCAAGGAGAAGCTGCAGTGCCTGAAAGATTTCCACAAGGACATCCTGAAACCATCACCAGGGAAGAGCCCAGGCACACGGCCTGAGGATGAGGCAGAGGGCAAGCACCCACAGAGGGAGAAGTGGTCCAGCAAGATTGACTTCGTGCTCTCTGTGGCTGGCGGCTTCATCGGCTTGGGCAATGTCTGGCGTTTCCCATATCTCTGCTACAAAAATGGTGGAGGTAATCCAGGGCTGGGCTGTGGGAGGGGGAATAATGGGTGGGTTCCAAGTGTGGGTATCTCTTACAGCCCACTTTACCCATTCCTGCCCTTGTCCCTTCCCACCTCACCTCCAAGGTAGGTGCTTTATCACTCAGGTGGTGCTCTATCAGGGTTTTATTGTATGACTTCAGCAAGTCCTTTACCCTCTCTGATCCTCCAGTTTGTCATCTCTGAAGAGGTGAGACTGGGCAAGACCCATGTCTCCTAAGCCTCAGACATTCACATGCTCCATTCATAAATTTTCCCATATCCACATGCCTCCTAACTGGTCTTTATTTGAAATCTTTCTTACATTTGCTTTTGCTTTTCTAACTTAACCAAATGTAGTTCAAAAGCAAGCTTGTTTTCACCTCTAAATAAATGGAAAGCCACTATCATTTGCCATAATGGAAAGATATCCAGAAAAACAAAGTATGGTGAAGTTTTTTTTTTTTAAAAAATGTAAGGTCTTTGGTTGGTTGGTTGGTTGATTGGTTTGGGGTGTTTTGTTTTTGTTTTTTGGCCTGCTAAAGGCCTACTAAAGGAGCTATGGTGGCATAGTAGAGAAGGCATTGGCTGCTAACCAGAAGGTCAGTGATTCAAACCTACCAGCTGCTCTGTGGAAGGAAGATGGGGTGATCTACTTCCATATAGATTTATAGCCTCAGAAACCCAATGTGGGTCACTGTGAGTCGGAATTGACTTGATGGCAGTGAGTTTGGCTTTAAAGGTTTGAGCTAGAATCCTGTCCCGCTTTAATACACCTATTTAGTGGTGTTAAGGGAGCTCTAGTAGCATAGTGCCTAAGGCACTTGACTGCTAACCAGAAAGCCTGGTGGTTCAAACCCACCAGCCACTCCTCGGAAGGAAGATGGGGCAATCTACTTCCATAGTGATACTGCGTCAGAAACCCAAGGAGAGGTCGCTATGAGTCAGGTCTGACTTAACGGCACATAACAACAGCAACAACAGTGGTGTTAAAGAATAGAGACATGCTTGCTGATGCAACAAGAGGAGCTGGTCCCCTCAGTCACCACCAGTAAATGAAGGAATGTAACATGCCACCACATTGGGGAAGTCTGCATTAGAGCCTCGTTTGTAGCCTTTGTAGGTCACAGACCTCTTTGGGACTCTGAATTCCCTTGCTGCTTCTCAGACCAAAGTACAAATTCATGGACCCAAGTCATACAGCCTCAGAAGGTTCATGGACCTGCTGAAACTATTAGCAGACAACAGAAAGGAGTCCCACCTAGATTCTTTGCCCCTCTCACCTCTCTTGGCTCCCACCCCTTGATTGGAGACATCTGCCTCCTGTTTTTTAACTATTCTTCTAGATAGTTCTTAGCTTCCTGCCCCAGAGAAGCCTGGGGAAAAGTAGAGAAAAGCTTCAGTGAGGAAGTCACTTTTGACATTGATCTTAAAGGCTGAGCAGTACTTGATGGATACAAGAAGGCAGGCAGGCTCAGCTTAAGCAAATGCTCAGAGGCCCTGACATATTTGAGAAGTCACAGGCATACTGCAAAAAAGATGCCAGCCTCACAGGTGAATATGGCCTGCAGGATTCTCAAGTCCATGTTCCTCATATCACTCACTCACTCTGATTCCACTGGCTAGGGGCCTTGGGAATGAGCACCTTCTAGTTGCGGTTCTCAGAAGCATCGTCCTCATGGCAGCCACAGTTCAACCAATACTTGCCGCCACTCTGCTTTCTCTGCAGGTGCGTTTCTCATACCGTATTTTATTTTCCTGTTCGGCGGCGGCCTACCTGTGTTTTTCCTGGAGGTGGTCATTGGCCAGTATACCTCTCAAGGGGGCATCACCTGCTGGGAAAAGATCTGCCCCTTGTTCACTGGTGAGTATGGGACTGAAGACACTGGGGGCCTGGTGTTCATTGGTTAAGCAAGGTTTTATTAAGAACCTACTATTTGCTAGGCACATTGAATCCTCATGAAATCACTCGGCACTGCCTGATACGAGGTAGCAGCCAATACGTTACACCTGCACTGCTGCTGCCTCTGCTGATGATTAATAGTAGGGGGAACATGGTAAGCACTGGCTGCCTAAGGACCAGCTGTTCTGTCCTGCATGGTTGTTGAAGGAAAGATCAGCACTCAAGGTCAAGAGTCTTTCTGTCTGAATTCAAGCCCTACTTCCTCCTGTTGGCAGCTTTGTGACTTTGGGAAAGCCACTTAACCTCTTAGTGCCTTCATATTCTCATCTGTGAGATGAAAATAATATGCTTATTTCATAGGGGTGCTATGAAGACAATGATATAGCCAGGTAAAAATGCTTTGTGCACATGTTGTTGTTGTTATGTGCCATTGAGTTGGACCCGACTCATAGTGACCACTCCTTGGGTTTCTGAGGCAGTATCACTATGGAAGTAGATTGCCCAACCTTTCCAAATTAATGGTAGCTATGATTTTCATTATAACATTGGCACTCATGAAGTAATCAGTTATGATTATAATTGGCAGGAATGGAAGTATATATGAGTTTATTCAATGAACCTTTCTTGCATTAAGCCATTTAATAATTAGACCACCCATCCTACAACCATCCATTCATTCATCCAATAACCCATTCATGTACTCATTATTTATCCATGCATTTATCCATTGAGCCTTCCAACCAACCACCATCTATACACCCACCCAATAAGTCCAATATTTATCCATTAGTCAAACATCCATCCATTTAGTTATCTATCCATCCATCTGACCAGCCAGCCAACTAGCCATTCATTGATTTATCCATTTGTTTAACCATTTATTCATCAAACCATCCAACCATTCACCTATTTAACTATCTGTATTAGTTATCTAGTACTACTATAACAGAAATACTACAAATTGGTGTTTTTAACAGACAAAAATTTATTTTCTCACAGTTTAGGAGGTTAGAAGTCTGAATTCAGAATGCCAGCTGTAGGGGAAGACTTTCTCTCTTTGTTGGGTCTGGAGGAATGTCTTTGTCTCTTCAGCTTCTGCTTCCTGGTTCCTTAGAGATCTCCATGTGTCTTGACATTTATCTTACTCCATCTCTACTTCTAACTTGAGTTTAATCTCTTTTATATCTCAAAAGAGATTGACTCAAAATACACCTTACATTAATCCTGTCTAATGACATGCCTAATTAACATGACAAAGACAACCTGTTCCCAAATGGGATTATAACCATAAGCATAGAGGTTAGGATTTACAGCATTTATTTTTTTTGAGACATAATTCAGTCCATCACACCATCCATTTGCTTATCCTGTCTTCCATCTATTTTTTGTTTAATCTAACCATCCATCACATTTAGCCATCCATTCTTTTACTTGTCCATTCATCCAATCATCCATTCATCCTATACATGTTTGCTAGTCATTTTTGAAGGACCTCTGCTGGCTCCAGGCCCTTGGGGATGCAAGGCTTTCTAGCTGTGTATGTGGTGAAGGTGGGTCTGGCCTCACTCCTGATGCATGTCTCACTTGCCCATACCTGCAGGCATTGGTTATGCCTCCATCGTGATCGTCTCCCTGCTGAACGTGTACTACATCATCATCCTGGCCTGGGCCATGTACTACCTGTTCCACTCCTTCCAGACTGATCTGCCCTGGGCTCATTGCAACCACAGCTGGAACACGCCCCACTGCATGGAGGACACCATGCGAAAGAACAAGAGCATGTGGATCACCCTCAGCACCTCCAACACCACCAACTATACCTCCCCTGTCATCGAGTTCTGGGAGTAAGACTGGCTTCATGGAGGGAGGGAAAGAGGGAATGGGTGTGGGGGCAGCCTACTTCCTCCTCTTCCCCCTGAGGATGTGGGAGCCACTGTCTTTTGTGGGTAGGAAGACACAGATTTGGAGATATAGCCATGCTCTTGGTCTCAGACAGGCCTATAATCAAATCCCAGTTCGGCCATTTACTGACTGTTTGACTTCATGCAAGTCACTTCCCTTTTCTGAGGCTTGGCTTCTTTACCTGTTAGCATGAGGGTAACAAATCATTCTTACCTCTTACTCTCACAGGATAGCTGTGAGAATTGTTTTCCAGATATATATTTGCAGTTACTTTAGATGAAACATATGTTGTCTGAAAATGTGGTTTTCTTAATGAAAGGTAAAGGTAGCATATCAAACCTTTTAGTGCACAGATAAAAATGCTTATATGAAGCTGAATTAGTTATTCAAGTGAAAAGGTGAGCAGATAGAGTGAAAAATATGTATTTTTCAGTTAACTTTTGCTGTGTAACAATCATCCCAAAGCTTGGGTGTTAAGCAACAACCAGTTATTTAGTTCATGGTTCTGCTGGTTGGCACTGTGAGGTAGCTCAGGCAGACAGTTCTTTGGGTCTTGGTTGGGCTCCCTCATGTGTCTGGGGTTAGCTGTAGGCCATCAGGGTCTTCTGGGGATTGGCTGGCTCTTGGCTGGGGCACTAGGGGTGGCTAGTCCATGTGGTCTCTTTACCCTTCAGGCTAGCCTGAGTTAGCTCAGCATTCCAAGAACAGAAAATGGGAAAGCTTGTACTTTTTAAATCTCTGCTTTTGTCATTTTTGCTAATACCCCATTGGCCAAAGAAAGTCACATGACTAACCCAAATTCAAGAGGTGATGTAGTGCTGCTGTAACACGAATACCACAAATGGGTGGCTTTAAAGAACAGGAACTAATTTTCAGGAGGCTAGAAGTCCCAATTCAGGGCGTGGCTCTAGGGGAAAGTTCTTCTTTGTCTATTTCAGTTTCTAGTAGCTAGCAATCTTTGCAGTTTCTGGACTTGTACATTCTACCTCCATCATCAGCTAGCATTTATTTATCCCCTATATCTGCTTTCTTGTCTCTGTGTCTATGCTGTTTCTCATAACTCAGCAGTGATTAAGTTTAGGACACATCCTATGCTGATATGGCCTCATTGACATAACAAAACCCTATTCTCAATCGGATCTATGTCTGTAGATATATTAAAAAAAAAAAAAACTCAACATCATTGAGTCGATTCCCACTCATAGCAACCCCAGTAGGTTTCCAAGACAGTAAATCTTTGCAGAAGTAGATTGCCCTATCTTCCTTCCACAGAGCAGCTGGTGGGTTTGAACCACCAACCTTCTGGTTACAAGTCAAATGCCTTAGGCACTACACCACCAGAGCGCCTTATCTATAAATACAGGGGCTAAAAGCTCTGGTAGCATAGTGGCTAAGACTCTTGCCTGCTAACCAGATAGCTGGCGGTTCAAACTCACCAGCCACTCCTCTGAAGGAAGGTTGGGCAATCCTACTTCTGTAGTGATACTGCCTCAGAAACCCAAGGAGGGGTCGCTATGAGTCGGGTTTGACTCGACGGCACATAACAACAACAACAACAGGATTTAAACACATTGATATAGGGACACAATTCAATCCATAACAGGCTCTGCCTCTATATGAGAAGAGTGGAGAATTATGGGCATTTTTCATAATTTGCCACAACCTAGTTAATAACTGTACAAAACCAAGCTCACTGCCATGAAGTCACTTCCAACTCATAGCAACCCCCACTGGGTTTCCAAGGCTGTAAATCTTTTTTATTTTTTAAATTTGTATTGTGATATGGGTGACTGTTTACAGAACAAATTCATTTTCCATACAGCAGTTCACATACACTTTGTCTCATGATATTGACGTAGTTGCCTACAATGCAAGAACTCCCCTTCCACTTCCTCTCCATAGTTACCTCTTCCCTATATCTTTCCCTCCCATGCACTCCTGCCCCCTGAGCTGTCTCCCTGTACATACATAGCCCTTCTATTCTCCCATGATTGATCTCTCCAAGGAGTGTATCTACCTAATGTAAATATTCACCTCATATGCCTGACTTTTGTTTGGCTGGAAGCCACAGGAGTGGATTCGATTCCAGACCTGAAGGGCACCTAGGGGCAACAGTCTCAGGGGTTGCATCAGCTTCTATCAGACCAGCAAACCTGGTCCTTTTTTTTTTTTTTTTTTTTGATGATTTTGAGTTTTGTTCCACATTGTTCTCCCACTCTATCCAGGATCTCCTACATAAATCCCCCTGAATGGTTGACAATGGTAGCCGGGCACCATCTAGTTCTTCTGGTCTCATAGTCATATAGGGTGAGAATGACATGGTGCACCAGTTCCAAGGCTGTAAATCTTTATAAAAGCAGACTGCCTCATCTTCTGTGGAGCAGCTGGTGGGTTTGAACCACAGTCTTTTGGTTAGCAGCCAAATGCCTTAACCAGTAGGACTCTTTAATAACTCGGTAAACTCCCTGTCATGAGTTAGCAGCCCCTCCTTGGGTTTCCAAGGTGATATTTCTATGGAAGTAGATTGCCCAGTCTTCCTTCCGAGGAGTGTCTGGTGGATTTGAACCTCAAGCCTTCTGGTTAGTAGTCAAATGCCTTAGGCACCAGAGGACAAGCACCATGAAGGCAGAGGTGGAGGCCTCAATTGTGCTTAGCTGATATACAGGTAGGACCTAACACAGTGGTTGAATGCTGATCAAAATATGTATTAATACATCACATTCCCTGTTCATGAGTTCTTAAATCTGGGGCTCAGCTCTGAGATGTGGCCACCTCAACCCAAGAATGGCTGAACTAAGTCCTCATGGGCAAGGTTGAGAGCTACAAAGAAAGGAGGTGTGGCCCTTAGTTATCTCCCTTTTTTTGTGTGTGGCTTTGCTGTTTTCAAGGTGTTTGCCCACATCTTGGGGACAGTGGTGGTTCAGTGGTAGAATTTTCATCTTCCATGCAGGAGACCCTGGTTCTGTTCCCAGAGAATGCACCAACCTCATGTGCAGCCACCACCTGTCTGTTAATGGAGGCTTGTGTGTTGCTTCAATGCTGACCAGGTTTCAGTGGAGCTACCAGAACAAGATAAACTAGGAAGAGAGGCCTGGTAATGTACTTCCAAAAATCAATCAATGCAAACACTATAGATTACAGTGATCTATCTGATCCCATTGTGCAGGGAGTCACCATGAGTTAGGGGCTGACTGGACAGCAGCTACTAACAACAGTCCATCTCTTAGAACCTGGCCATAGAAATAGGCCCAGAGAGCAGGGAGCTGCCCAACTGACTGGTCCCATCATGCTTCGGTGCTAGGGCTGGGAAGTCACAGGCAAAGGGTCAACTGCTCTCATTTGGGTGTGGAGCCCTCATTTGGGTGGCTCATGTCCCTCTCATGACATGTGGGCCTTTAGTATTTGTCCATGGTCCCTGGGGCTACTTAGCTCCGTATGTGTATATATTTACTACTTGCAAACAAAGAGGGCAGTAAAAGCACATTCCTCACTCCTTCATCTCCCCACCCTCTGGCAAGCTGAGTTTACAAGGGACTGGAGCCTCCAGAGGCCAGACAAAGAAAGGCTGGCACTTCATTCTTCTCACTTGAATGGGGCCAGAGGCCACAGCCCTATCCTTTCTGTGGTGTTCTTGGCACAGGCCTCACAAATCAGGGCCTGACCCACCCAGGGCACTGGCTCCAATGGTAGCCTTTGCTCAGTGAGTGACTCCCAGAGCCTTCTCCCCTCGGCCATGGACTTCACTGCCTGGGGTCAAACCTTCACCCTACCTTTTCTGCTTGGGAGAGTGCCTTCACCTCTCTGGGCTTCGGGGTCCTTGCCTGTAAGTGAGGTATCACAGCACTGCCCTCTCAGGACTGTAGGGAGGCCCAAGTGAATGACACTATGCATGACCAGTCCTTAGAACGTGATAACCAGTTGCCATTGTCTATTCCAAGGCATGGTGACTTCATGTGTGCCAGAGTATAACTACACTCCACGGGGCTTTCAATGGCTGATTTTTCAGAAGTAGGCTTTTCTTCTGAGACACTTCTGGGTGGACTTGGTAAGCAGCCAAGCATGTTAACAGTTTGCACCACCCAGGGACTCCTAGCACTTGTAAAGACTCCGTTTTTGGGTCTTTATTATTATTATTATTATTGGGAGCTCTAGTGGCATAGTGCCACTAAGGCGTTTGACTGCTGACCGGAAGGCTGGCAGTTCAAACCCACCAGCCACTCCTTGGAAGGAAGGTTGGGGCAATCTACTTCCATACTGTTACCACCTCGGAAGCCAAAGGAGGGGTCGCTATGAGTTGGATCCGACTTGACAGCAGTGAGTTTGGTTTTTTGTTTTGGTATTATTATTTAGGGTCCTCACAGAGGGTCAAACTACTCCCAGGGACATTTGAAATGTGTGGAAGTGTCACAATAACAGAGGATGCTACTGACGTTGGGGACTAAGAATTGTCTCTTCTTCAATGTCCATAAGTCCTTCCCCCTGTTGCACCAGGGCCTGCTTTGTGGCTTTGTTCACCTCCCCATGACCTTCAGGACATAGTGGTCTTAGGGAAGGTGCTCATGTAAGAGACATGAGGTCCTGCAGTGCCCAGGCCTCACCTCCACTTTTCCCCATACACCCACTCTGGCACCTCCTGGGGGATTCTGGGACCTCTGCCTCCCAAAGTTCTTATCCAACTCCCCATCTCCTTTTCTGGCACGGAAGAGGCTGAGACGGTTGTTTATCTTTGGACATTTCCTAGTTCCACAGGCACCTTCCCAAGTCCCTTATATGATCCAGATGGACTTGCTCTGTCCAGGGTGTGCTGGCTGCCTGCCTGGTGCTGGCCTCCCTCCCTTCTGGCCTTTGTGCCCTGCACTCTACTGCGTTCTGCCAGAGCCACATGAGACCACCTGACTATCCCACCTTTCTAGAACCCTGGGAGGACCAGCGTCCACAAAGA